TCTACGTCCTGAGGACCTCACTGCCACCGTCCAAGCGTGCTTGGCCCCGGCAGATGAACCTCAGGATTAAAGGGTGGGCTCAGTTCCGCGCACACTGTGTCTCACCTAAAAAATCCAATGCGCAGGCTGGAAGGTGGAAAGACCTTCCCCGGTTCTTCGTTCGCGAAGAGACTGGCCATTATTATTATTTATACTACTTTGAGAACTGTGTTTTGGTTATCCTTAAACAAAAGTGTGCTTTAAGAAAACGTGTTTTTACGGTGCTATTGCTGAAGACAAAACTGTAAGTTCAAACTTACCGTATTGAGGCTTTTTAGTTGTTTGCGGTTTTTTTGAGCTGCTTTAGCAGCAGCATAGGGGAACTTCTCTGCTAATCAAGCAGCTGATTCTATTCATTAGACTTTATCAGTTTATTTTTGTCTCTAAAGTAACAGAAGCAATTACTGCTGTGAAAGAAACAACCTTTTCAAAAGCTTCATATACTGTATTTAACTTGTGAGTTACTAATAAAATAATAATAGGGAAAAATAATAGGGAAATAATAATTTCCCTAAAATCTTCGGGAGTGTCTTTAAATGGTGTTTCTCCTGTTTGCTTGTAACTGTATCTTATTACACTGGGGTGAAATCTGATGTGTATTTGTCTCTTCAGTGACCCAGCAATGAAGCAGTTTCTGCTCTACTTGGATGAGTCAAATGCTTTGGGAAAGAAGTTCATCATACAAGACCTGGATGAAACTCATGTCTTTGTGTTAGCTGAATTGGTTAACTTTCTCCAGGAGAGAGTGGGCGAGCTGATGGACCAGAACTCATTTCCTATTACTCAGAAGTGAAAAGACAAGAGAAATGGGCTTACTGGAAGTTTTGAAACTGAATTTCAATAGCATGGGTTGTTCTAATAGATAACACTGTGATTTGTAAGTTCTACATAGAAGTGGCTACTCTGAGAAATGTATCATTTTCATAGACAAAATACTTTGGAAATGGATTTTGTTTCTTATTTTGAAAGATTAGAGTATCTTTATTAAAATTCTTAAATTTCTACACTTGGTGACTTGCCTAAAGAATTTTTGATGCATGCTCTCTGTTTTTCCTTTAGGATTTTTATCTTGCAAAATGGTATGACCCAAAAGTTAGTGTTTGTGCTTTGAAATGCTATATACACTTCTCCGACATGTTTCTGTGGAATTGTTTGACTCTGATTATAGTGTGACTAATAGAAAGTAAAGAATGTCTGGTAAAGTATGATCTGTGCTTGTTGGAACATCTCTGTAAGTTGAAGGCATGGTCAAATACTGCTTTAACCTAATGGGTTTAATACCCCAGAATGAAAGTTCATGTGACTGTTTCATTGTCGTGTTTCTGTTTTGTTTTCCAAAAATTTAACAAATGCCCCATACTACTTGCCTACTTTTACCAAATCACAAATTAAAGGAGTCAGAGAAATGGGAGACCAATCCTATATGTATAATTGCTTTGGCCACAATAAGCTATGTAATCAGGAAGAAGGAGATTCACATGCTCTACCTGCAAAGAGGAAAGCTGGTTTGGGATTTTTTTTTTTGAGTGTTGTGTTTTTTCCTCCAGCTTAACTCTTCTTCCTCTATTGCTTTTTGCTGCAAAGGAAAAGCTTCATAGTTTCATACTTTTTTGTTTTGTTTTTTTTTTGATTTGTTTTGGTTTTTAGTTTTTACACTGTATTTGTAACTAGCTCAGACACTGGCTTATTTGTAAGTGAGCTAGTGCATGATGATGGAACCTGTGAAGATTCCTGTTTGCAGGTCAGGCACATACGGATTACAGAAACAAGAAGAATAATATGTGTTACTTTTGCTCTTATTCTACTTCCTACTCAAAACAGTAGAAATTATTGGATCTATAAGTAATCATTGACAAAGGACTCCTGGGATATTACATCAAATGGAAGCTTGGTTTTGAGAGCCCCTCATGTACATCAGATAGGCGCCACCTTTGTATCTTTGGGGAAAAAATAAGTATAAATTGAAAAGCTTTTGTAAGGAACAGTTTTCCTTGCTGACTCTTCCAGTGCTGCTTGTTTTTCTTGTCCAGGAGCTATCACATTAGTTGGTGGGTTTGTTTTTGTTGTTTGTTTGGGTTGTTTTTGGGGGGGGGGGGGGGGGAGGGGAGTGTTTTGGTTTGTTTTTTCTCCCCTCAGGAATAGGGAAGCTTCAGGGGAAAGTTTCACTAGATATTTTTAATCAAAAAGCTGTCCAAAGAAAGTTCTATAGAATTGCATATATTCAGGCTCACATGGATGAGCCGATAGACCTGTAGAATTTAGCTTCATGTAATTTCTGTTTCCTTTCTTTGGAATCCTAGGTTATTTTCCATCCAGATTTTGCTGAAAGGTAAATCATCCCTTGCTCTCTCTTCAAATGACAGCATTTGAAAAGTCATATGTGGAATTCCACCTCTTAAGCTTCTCTATATTTAGCGTGTCTAGTGCTCCATTTCTGTTGTGATTTCCCTTTTAAGTCTATAATAAGGTTCTTGCAGTTCTTGTTTTTTTCTCCTGGTTAATTGTACCAGCTTTGCTGTTGCATTACCTGTGTTTTCACTTAAATTTACAATTGATAAATGGCTTATGTAATGCAGAGGGATAGAAATTCCAAACTGTAAAGCATGCATTCTTATACTCTGCTTGTAAGATTTTTTTTCTTATTTGAGCAAACAATTTTATGGACTTTTAACTTCTAAACGTGTGAATAATTTAATCCTTCCTGCAACCTAACAAGGCCTAACTGATTCTATGCTGTAAGAATAAACAAATGATGTAAAGAAGCAAATTGGTAGCATTGTATGGGGTCTAAGGGACTGAGTTCTTTGTAGTCCCTAGGGAAAAAAGGGTCTTGAATCACACAGTATGGTGAAGGAAATCCAATGAGGAAACTTAAGTATATGAACTAAATGAACAAAACACCCAAGGGTTTTTGGTATTTGAATCAACTTGGACCTCTGAAAGGTTTTGTGTTTTGTTTTGTTTTTTTTAATGCATATAATCCTGTAACTTTCGTGCTTTAACTACAAAAAATAATTTAAAAAATGTATATTGCTCAGATGGGAGAAAAGTAGAGACAAGTGTTAGAAATATCAAGACATTTTGAGATAGTCAGCATTTACACTGTTTTTCATTTAGGTGTGAAATATTGATGAGTAGAGCTTGGAATGAAACACTGTGTTAGGAATACATTTTAAAGTCTGGAAGCGTTTGAGAATAAAAACTGAAGGAGATCTTTGTAAATATATACATATTTTGATTATAGAGTTAATATTGTGAGAAAATTGGCTCACTATTTGAATATTTTATGTTAATTTAACATTTGTATCCATCATTAATAAGTTCACTGTTTTGCTAATATCTAGCACAGGAACTTCACTCTGCTCAGGTTTTGCTTGAGCAGTGAAAAGAGATCTTGGATGGCAGACTTCTTGTTGCTGCTTGTTAAAGCACCAAATTTTATCTCAATGGGCTTTCACTGCTCACTTTCTGCTTTCAGTGAGTTGAAAATATCTTGTCTACTGGAAGAAGAGCATGGTTAGAACAGTTACTTAAAGGACACTTATTCAAACTTCATTTATTACTTGATACTTATTTATACTTAAATCTAAAAAAAGATTGCAAGTTCACTTATTTGCATTTTATGACATAAACCAAGTTGCACGTGGGTAGTTACTGTAAGTTGAACATGATCATAAGTACTGCTTTCCTTAACACAAATATAAAAGCTAAAGACTAATATTTGACAGAAAGATGAGAGGTCTCTAAAGCAAGGTAAGAGAATTTGAATAATTCAAATAAAGTTTGTTATATGGCAAGAGAAGGTGGAAACTGAAAATACTGCTTCCTGTTAAAGCACTTCATTTTTATTGAAAATTATACTATTGAGCATTTTGAGTTTTTTGTTCATGTCTCAATTTTTTTTTCTTTAAGTTTATTAATGGGCTTCAAAGAAAGATGTGTAAAAAGCAAATAAGCTTAAATGCCTACATTTAGATACTTTTACAAATTGTGGGATCAGCTAATTCTGGAGAGTGGGTTAGGTTAGCATGGGTGTTGATAGCACAATGAATATGACCCTGGTTAGTCAGTATAGATAGGGATTATAATGACTTAGTTTGTTTGTGCCCAATTCATAAGTCCCCTCTCCTTCTCTCTGATACAACAACTAGCCCAAGAAGAATAATTGTCCAGTGCAGTGAAGGAGGAAATAACCAGCAATCACTAGAGAGAATGGATGTGACATCAAGAAAGAAAACTATATTGAAAGAAAATAGAGAATGCTTCAGGGAATTCTACCAGTTTACCTGAAAGAACCCAGACTGAGTGGATTTGACTTCGTAGCTAAACTGCCAGCGTTGTTTCAGAAAATGGGAGGCACCTGAATCTATTTGAAATGATAGTGGATTTGTTTATTTGTTTAATGTGCTTATAATGGTAGTTTGCGGGTTTTTGGATATTTAGCACAGTGCTGAGATCTAGGTGGCTGTGTGATGTGCTACACTAAACCTTCTCCAAGTGCTGTTGTACATTAAGAAATCCTATTTTACAGTTTTTCCACGTTTATACGGTGCATTCAAAAACATATCTTCTGAGTCTCTATTTCTTTCCTAATGTGCCATAACAACAGTTTTCACTGTTTTTTCTCACCTCTGTAGGGCCACCTCTCGTATGCAAGAACAATCTAGAGAACATGTATTTTTATGCATTAACAGGATTGTGAATTGAAGATAATGGTATTTCATGGTATCATTTAAGTGACTTGTGTTAACCTTTCTTAGTTGGCATCATCACTGTAAAACTGTCAAATTTCAGTCAACCCCTAGGCCAAGCTTGTGAAAGTAGGACTCTAAAAAACATATAATGGCCAGTCTCTTCACGAACGAAGAACCGGGGAAGGTTTTTACACCTTCCAGCCTGCGCATTGGATTTTTTAGGTGAGACACAGTGTGCGCGGCTGCCACCGTCCAAGCGTGCTTGGCCCCGGCGGATGAACCTCAGGAAAAAACATATATAAGTGTATGTAATGTGTGCGTATATGTTTATATATATATAAATCAACAAGTCTTTAATCATTAAACCAACACAGTCTGAGCAGTATATTTTGTTCTTACAAAATTCTTCCTAAACTAAGTCATAATGTTTGGTCTTATGACTTAACAACTAATAAGAATTTTAGAAATAGGATATCTGATAGAAACTTGATGTGGAACTGGGGTTTTTTTGTTTTGCTGTTTTTTGGGGATTTGTGATTTGTTTTTGTTTCTTTGTTTGTGGGGGTTTAGGGTGGTTGGTTTTTTTTTATTGTTGTTTTTTTGGTTTTGTTTTTTAATGTGGAATAGAAGTAGTATTCTTCACATTGCTGTTTCAGATTTTCAGGACTGAAGAGTTGACAATTTGAAGACAGACCAGTAAGGGGAGCTCTTGCCAACATTTTAAGCTGCTATCAAAAAAATTGCGGCCTGGGCATTGGTGGGTCCAAGACTTATGATGCTTTGGAGCATTAGATATGCATTCAGCTAGCGGTGAACATTCAACTTCAAAGGATCCTTCTATAGAGTTATTTGCTGTAGGAGATTTTGGAATGTAGTATTTTTAGCTCAGAAATTTCTTAGATGTTTAGTTACCCAAAGTTTCCTTTCTATGCTTCGGTACGCAGTCATGTTACATTAAAAGGATGAGTCTGAAGTATGGTCTTCCCTTCAGATGTTAACTGGTAGGTCTGTGTATCTCCACACCAAGATCCTGCTTTAGGAAAGGTTGGATCTGTTTTAGGTAGGATAGAAACTGTTTTAAGTTATTTTTAGTGACTGTAAATCAAAAGAAGACATTGTTTATAAGAAGTAATGTTTATTAATTTTTCCTTCTTTATTTCCTCATAATACACAATGCATGTGATTGTAGCGTACTTATTCCTCAGAGCACATGTGCTTTATATGGAAGACATATAAAATATTCAATCTTACTGTATTTCAGTCTGTGGATTTCTGCATCCCTATCCCTACAGTGTTGCTAATAATACATGGAAATGAGACACATAGACAGTGTTTCCCTCATTGGCCCCCTAAAAAAGGAATAGCTTTATTGATTTACACCTATATAAATGTAAAATTCAGTATGTTCCCTAAACAAACAAACAAATACCCCCAGAACACTACCAATTAAGTTTTACTATGAGGGGGGAAAAAAGCCCAAGACCTTGAATATTAGTGATTGTATTTTTCACATAAGCAGAAAAAGTAATTTTCTCACTTCTGATTGCATAGCAGTAATAAGAAAATTAACTACAAAATAGAAACAGACTATAACATTGCTGTCAGTGAACAAATTTTAAAAGTGAAAATTTTAGAGTATTACTGTAAGTTTTTAGCTTTTTGTGCTTGAGCAATTTTGCCTGTTAGTAACAAGTATAAGGTTCCTGAAAGAAATCTCATTTTCAAATAATATCTTTTACCAAAAGCAGACTCATAATACCCATGCAGGAATGGGCTTGAACACACCAAAGAAAATCCATCCAACATCAGAACTGACAGATATTTGATTAGCCACATAAGTAGCCCCTCAGGAAAGAAACAGCAAGCAAAATTTCTGGATGACTGTAGATTGAAGGAGTCGTCTGTCAGAGCTATACAGTTGTTCATTTTTCTATTACAGAAAAGATGGACTCCATTGTAAATTACAGCACACACAGAACATTGGGTACACTTGCAGCTCTGAAGAGATCACTCACAGATAAGAAAATATTGTGCATTTCTACAATGTTGGCATAGCTGATACATTGTAAGTAGTGAGAGATGCACATACTGAGCAAGGCCTTGTGATCTGTCACTGTTTTGTATGTTGCGCTCCTGATGTATCAAAGCTAGAGGGGTGAGATCGGAGGAGGAAGGAGCAAGAAAGCAGGAAAGAGGGGGAAGAGTGTTTTAGGACTGCAACTATTATTTCCTGTTAATTTTGAAATTGAACAAAATCAGAAGGAGCCTAAAGACTGAGAGATGACACTCCAATTTTGTATCCAAAAATATTCTTACAATTAACTAGAACTTAATTGGCTTACAAAAGGTCCTGTATTTATCGCCAGAGCTAACACAAGGACTGGGAGAGCAGGTTTTTATGTATTTATGTTATGCCTATTATTTTAATTTTATGTCTATTTTTTTTCCCTGTCCTGGATGGGACTACTTTTCCATGTGGAATGATAGTGTAGTTTTACTTCCTTTTAATCTTTGCATTCTCCAACACTGGCAACTCTATTGAGCGTAAAATGTGTTTTGCATATGTGTTGTATGCATATCATTAGATATACAGGTATTCCAGAAGCTAGGGATTCAGCAGTGATGAGTGACCCTGGAATAATTACGGCCTTCTGTATCATCAGTGAGCTTGAAATTAATATACAAAAGAAAAATCTCTCTTCAGCTGTAAAATGAAGCAAGCTCCCTCTATTTGATTTTGCTTTTGGTCAAAACAAACATTATCTTTTCATTTTAGGAAAGTTATAAAGTCAGTATAAAACTGAAGAAAAAAGAGGCGTGGTTTCTTAAGGAATATTTGGAATTAATATTGTTAAGTACAGCCATGAAAGGTCAGTGTGATAGAGGACTGTGACAGCTTTCTGCTACTGGCCAGGTCACCATTTGGGCAGAGGGAGCTGCAAACAGCATTTAAGGGGAGAAATAGAGTAGGGAAGAGGAGTGGGCAAAGCTAAGCATCTGAACAATTCTGTCGTGTTGTCCAGGGAACCTGAAGCCTTGGAATTGGTAAATGTTTCCCCTTTTGGCTTTGAGT